TCCTTTGTTGATTGATCTATATACGTCAGCATTTGTCTGTGCTTACATCACTTGATCTTACATAGGTTGGTTTATTTTCTTCTTTAGAGTAAAGCAATAAAGCTTCTTTAAAATTTCCTACTTTTTGTTCCCTTGGATCTTGCTTTGTCTGTTCTTCTATATGCTTCAGCATTTAGATCTGTGCGTAAATCAATTGTTTTTTTTGGGTCCATTTATCGATGTTTTCGATGAAATGATTCTCCTGAAAAATGTTTTAGAAGTAAGAACAAGAACATGATCTACATATTTGCCACTGGTCTTGTGTTCAATAGGTTAAGAGTCAGATACTCTCACACTGAAATCAATGCCTTATCTAATTGGTCATTTGAATCTTCTTCACAGGTAATATTTGAACAAATTGCTTACTATCATGGGATCCGTTGTTGATGCTGCAAACAAGGTATTGATTTTACACTTCTATGGATTATAAGTGTGTACAAGATTGTGTTGCCTTTTGCCTCTTTTATGTGACTATAATGAAAAACTAAATAATCAATCTTACTGTATAAAAAAGTTGCACCCCTTGCAATTCCTTCTTATTGTTCATAATTATATGGCTTTAGGCTTCCAGTTAACCAGAAAACTTTCATGCAGTAACCACTTACAATACTTGTTTTGCTTGGGAGATACAATATTTCACCTTTGTGAATTTATTTTTTTGGCGTCTTAGGTAAATGGAACCGCAAGTGGGAAGAAACCCACAGTTATTTTTGTCCTGGGTAAGTTCAGTTCACTTGTTTGTGTTGCTAAACCGTTACTTTTCGGTCATCTTGTTTGTGGTTCTCTTATGCGATATGGTCTATAGATTGCATTGTCCTTATTATTCATGAGGTATCGGCTTGTTGAAGTTTAGTTGTATATCTTCTGACTTATTTCTTGTATATGTTAAACAGGTGGTCCAGGCAGTGGAAAGGGTACTCAGTGTGCCTTTATCGTTGAACATTATGGTTATACACATCTGAGTGCTGGAGACCTTCTTAGGGCTGAAATTAAATCAGGTTCTGAAAATGGGTATGCCCTAAGACTTTCTGGCATTGTATGCAAAAGCATTACTCATTTTGAAAGTCTTTGTACTAAAAAATTTGCTTGCTAAAGGCATGGAAAATCCTTCACATTCATTGTCCTTCTTGTGGTTATTTGTGATTTCGTTTA